GTCCTTAGGGGGAGGGGAGCCACGGTAAGGCCCCTACTGCCTTTGAGGGGAGGGAGGCTCGTGGCCTGGGTCTCTATCTGGAGTCATATTTGGGGAGCTCCAGCCTGTGCCTCTAGCATCTGGAAATCAGTCTGCCTTCACCTGGAGCCAGCTTTCATCTGAGGAAATTACCACTTAGGCCTCTGCTATATTTGGGGAATTACCACCCAGGACTCCATCTTATATTTGGGGAAGTACACATTTCCTGGTGCCTATACCTCATTTGGGGAATTACTATTTCTGCCTTTGCCTCATTTGGAGACTCATCCCTCCATACCGCCATCTTTTACTTAGGGAAATCATCTATCTGTGCCTCTGTTTTTCATTTAGAGAATCACTGCCCATGTTTCTGTCTCCCTTTGGAAATTGCAGCCCGTGCCTCCATGACCTTTTGGGAATTCCTGCCTTTGCCTACACCTCGGTTTGGGGGAATTACTGCCTGCGCCTCCCATTATGCAGAGATATATGGTGTATGTCCATTCCCTTCTGAGAATTACCTCCTGTGCCTACCCCTGCAGCCATCTTGTGGGAGTTAGTGCCGGTGCCTGTTACCACTCTCCGGGAATTGATACTTGGGCCTACGTCACCTTTTGGGAATTACTACTTGTGCCTGCATGTGGAGCCATCTTTGGGGAGCTCCAGCCTGTGTAATGGTCCTTGGGGGAAGGGGAGCTACAATGGGCCTCTGTTGCCTTTGGGGGCAGGGAGGTCTACAGCCTCAGTCTCCATCTGGAGTCACTTGGCGAGCTAGCCTCTAGCATCTGGAGCCATCTTTTGGGAATCACCACCTGTGCCTGCATTGCCTTTTGGGAATTACCACCTGTGCTTCTGCCTCCTTTTGGAATAACCACTTCCTTTTGGGAATTACCACCTGTGTCTGCATCTGGAGCCATCTCTGGGGAGCTCCAGCCTGTGCCTCCATCTTTTTAGAGGGAGCCACAGCCTGTGTGTTGGTCCTTGGGGGGAGGGGAGTTACAGTCTGGGCCTCTGGGGCCTTTGAGGGCAGGGAGGTTTATGGCTTGGGTCTCCATCTGGAGTCATATTTGGGGAGCTACAGCCCGTGCCTCTAGCATCTGGAGCTACCTTTGGGAATTACCTCCTGTGCCTTTGCCTTTTGGGAATTACCACCTGTGCCTGCATCTGGAGCCATCTTTGGGGAGCTCCAGCCTGTGCCTCCAGCATTTGGAAATTGGAGTCTGCCTCCACCTGGAACCAGCTTTTGGGAGCTCCAGTCAGAGCCATTTTTCATTTGGGAGATGGCCTCTCATGTGCCTTCACTTCATTTGGGGAATCACCACCCATGACGCCATCTTTTCATTTGGGGAATTACCACTTGCCATTCCATCTCTTATTTGGGGAAGTACACTCCTTGTGCCTGCACCCCACTTGGGGAATTACCATTCGTGCTTTTTCACTTCATTGTGAGAGTCACCTATCCACGCCTTCATCTTTTATTTGAGGAATCACCTATCTGTGCCTCCATCTTTCATTTTTGGAATCAATCTCCATACTTCTGTCTCCTTTTGAGAATTAACCACCTGTGCCTGTATCTGGAGCCACCTTCTGAGAATTACCACCTGTACCTGAATTGCCTTCTGGAAATTATAACCTGTGCCTGCATTGCCTTTTGGGAATTACCACCTGTGCCTGCATCTGGAGCCATCTTTGGGGAGCTCCAGCCTGTGTAATGGTCTTTGGGGGAAGGGGAGCTACAATGGGCCTCTGTTGCCTTTGGGGGCAGGGAGGTCTACAGCCTCAGTCTCCATCTGGAGTCACTTGGGGAGCTAGCCTCTAGCATCTGGAGCCATCTTTTGGGAATCACCACCTGTGCCTGCATTGCCTTTTGGGAATTACCACCTGTGCTTCTGCCTCCTTTTGGAATAACCACTTCCTTTTGGGAATTACCACCTGTGTCTGCATCTGGAGCCATCTCTGGGGAGCTCCAGCCTGTGCCTCCATCTTTTTAGAGGGAGCCACAGCCTGTGTGTTGGTCCTTGGGGGGAGGGGAGTTATAGTCTGGGCCTCTGGGGCCTTTGAGGGCAGGGAGGTTTATGGCCTGGGTCTCCATCTGGAGTCATATTTGGGGAGCTACAGCCCGTGCCTCTAGCATCTGGAGCTACCTTTGGGAATTACCTCCTGTGCCTTTGCCTTTTGGGAATTACCACCTGTGCCTGCATCTGGAGCCATCTTTGGGGAGCTCCAGCCTGTGCCTCCAGCATTTGGAAATTGGAGTCTGCCTCCACCTGGAACCAGCTTTTGGGAGCTCCAGTCAGAGCCATTTTTCATTTGGGAGATGGCCTCATGTGCCTTCACTTCATTTGGGGAATCACCACCCATGACGCCATCTTTTCATTTGGGGAATTACCACTTGCCATTCCATCTCTTATTTGGGGAAGTACACTCCTTGTGCCTGCACCCCACTTGGGGAATTACCATTCGTGCTTTTTCACTTCATTGTGAGAGTCACCTATCCACGCCTTCATCTTTTATTTGAGAAATCACCTATCTGTGCCTCCATTTTTCATTTTTGGAATCAATCTCCATACTTCTGTCTCCTTTTGAGAATTAACCACCTGTGCCTGTATCTGGAGCCACCTTCTGAGAATTACCACCTGTACCTGAATTGCCTTCTGGAAATTACAACCTGTGCCTGCATTGCCTTTTGGGAATTACCACCTGTGCCTGCATCTGGAGCCATCTTTGGGGAGCTCCAGCCTGTGTAATGGTCTTTGGGGGAAGGGGAGCTACAATGGGCCTCTGTTGCCTTTGGGGGCAGGGAGGTCTACAGCCTCAGTCTCCATCTGGAGTCACTTGGGGAGCTAGCCTCTAGCATCTGGAGCCATCTTTTGGGAATTACCACCTGTGCCTGCATTGCCTTTTGGGAATTACCACCTGTGCTTCTGCCTCCTTTTGGAATAACCACTTCCTTTTGGGAATTACCACCTGTGTCTGCATCTGGAGCCATCTTTGGGGAGCTCCAGCCTGTGCCTCCATCTTTTTAGAGGGAGCCACAGCCTGTGTGTTGGTCCTTGGGGGGAGGGGAGTTATAGTCTGGGCCTCTGGGGCCTTTGAGGGCAGGGAGGTTTATGGCCTGGGTCTCCATCTGGAGTCATATTTGGGGAGTTACAGCCTGTGCCTCCCATTATGTGGAGGCTGTATGTCTGGTTGCTTTCAGGGAATTAACCACATCTACCATCATCTCCTTTTGGGAATTACCACCTGTGCCTGCATTGCCTTCTGGGAATTACCACCTGTGCTGCTAACTCCTCTGGAAGTTACCACCTCTTTTGGAAATTACTACCTGGGCCTATATCTGGAGCCATATTTGGGGAGCTACAGTTTGTGCCTCCATTTTTTAAAGGGAGTTATAGCCAGTGCATTGGTCCTTGGGGGGAGGGGAGCTACAGTCTGGGCCTCTGTGGCCAGGGAAATTTATATGGCCTGGGTCTCCATCTGGAGCCATCTTTGGGGAGCTCCAGCCTGTGCCTCCAGCATTTGGAAATTAGAGTCTGCCTCCACCTGGAACCAGCAGAGCTCTAGTCAGAGCCATTCTTCATTTGGGAGATGGCCTCATGTGCCTTCACTTCATTTGGGGAATCACCACCCATGATGCTATCTTTTCATTTGGGGAATTATCACTTGCCATTCCATCTCTTATTTGGGGAAGTACACTCCTTGTGCCTGCACCCCACTTGGGGAATTACCATTCGTGCTTTTTCACTTCATTGTGAGAGTCACCTATCCACGCCTTCATCTTTATTTGAGGAATCACCTATCTGTGCCTCTATTTTTCATTTTTGGAATCAATCTCCATACTTCTGTCTCCTTTTGAGAATTAACCACCTGTGCCTGTATCTGGAGCCACCTTCTGAGAATTACCACCTGTACCTGAATTGCCTTCTGGAAATTGCAACCTGTGCCTCTGTGACCTGCTGGGAATTACTGCCTGTGCCTCTGTTTTCGCTTTTGGAAATGACCACTTGTGCCTGCATCTCCATGTGGAAATGACCACCATTGTCTTCATTGTGGTATTTTGAGGATTACCACCTCTGCCTTCATCTTGGTTTTGAAGGAGCTATCACCTGTGCCATTATGTGGAGATACAGGTCATATTTTTGTTGTCTTTTGGGAATTAACCTGGAGCCAGCTTCTGGGAATTACCACCTGTGCCTCCTGCATTGCCTTCTCGGAATTACCACCTGTGTCACCATCTTCTTTTGGGAATTATTACCTGTGTGCTATCTTAGGGGGGAGGGGTATAGCCAAGTGTCCTTGTCTTTGGGCAATTACTGCCCATGCCACAGTCTCCTTTTGGGAGGCTGAAGCCTGAGCCTTCCACTTTGAGGAGGTACAAGTTGTACTGCTTTCAATAGGGGAGTACAGCCTGTACCAGTTTCTTTTGGGGGGTCCCAGACTAAGCCTCCATCTTTAGAAAGATGCATCATGTGCCTCTCCCCTGGGGGAGGTACAAGTTGCATCTCTCCCTATGGAGAGGTACAGCTGTACCTTTTCCTCCTTTTCAAAATCCTAATCTGTGCCTATATTTCCTTTTAGGAATTTTCATCCATGGATACATCACCCTTTGGGAATTTCCACCTGTGGTTACATCGCTTGTTGGGAATTATCAGCTGAGCTACCAACTTCGTTTTTGGGAATTACAACTTGTTCTTATATCTGGAGCTCTCTTTGGGGAGTTTCAGCCTGTGCTTCTGTCTCCTTTTGGAGAAATATAGCCTGTGGCTCTGTGTGAAGACATCTTTTGGGACCTATAGCCTGTGCCTTTCTGTTTTGGGGAAGGTGCAGAGCTACAGCCTGAATCTCTCCATCTTTGGGGAGGAACAGCCTTGAGTCTCTCTGTCTTTGGGGAGAAACAGCCTGTATTCTTTTGGGAAATATTACCTATGCTTGTATCACATTTTAGGGAGGGGCAACCTGTATCTTTGTCTTTGAGGAGGTATAGCATGTACTTCCTCCTTTTCAGGAGCTACAGCCTGTGCCTCTCCATCTCCTTTTGGGAAATACCATCTGTGCCACCCCGTCTGGGCTTTTGGGAAATATCGCCTGTGCCACCATCTGGGCTCTTGGGAAATATCGCCTATGCCTCCGTTGGGGCTTTTGGGAAGTATCGCCTGTGCCACCGTCTGGGCTTTTGGGAAGTATCGCCTATGCCACCGTCTGGGCTTTTGGGAAATATCGCCTGTGCCACCGTCTGGGCTTTTGGGAAATACCGCCTGTGCCTCTGTTGGGGCTTTTGGGAAATATCGCCTGTGCCACCGTCTGGGCTTTTGGGAAATATCGCCTGTGCCACCGTCTGGGCTTTTGGGAAATATCGCCTGTGCCACATCATCTGGGCTTTTGGGAAGTATCGCCTGTGCCACCGTCTGGGCTTTTGGGAAGTATCGCCTATGCCTCCGTCGGGGCTCTTGGGAAGTATCGCCTGTGCCACCGTCTGGGCTTTTGGGAAATATCGCCTGTGCCACCATCTGGGCTCTTGGGAAATATCGCCTATGCCACCGTCTGGGCTCTTGGGAAATATCGCCTGTGCCACACCGTCTGGGTTTTTGGGAAATATCGCCTGTGCCACTGTCTGGGCTTTTGGGAAATATCGCCTGTGCCTCTGTTGGGGCTTTTGGGAAATATCGCCTGTGCCACCGTCTGGGCTTTTGGGAAATATCGCCTGTGCCTCCATTGGGGCTTTTGGGAAATATCGCCTGTGCCACACCGTCTGGGTTTTTGGGAAATATCGCCTGTGCCACTGTCTGGGCTTTTGGGAAATATCGCCTGTGCCTCTGTTGGGGCTTTTGGGAAATATCGCCTGTGCCACCGTCTGGGCTTTTGGGAAATATCGCCTGTGCCTCCATTGGGGCTTTTGGGAAATATCGCCTGTGCCACACCGTCTGGGTTTTTGGGAAATATCGCCTGTGCCACTGTCTGGGCTTTTGGGAAATATCGCCTGTGCCTCTGTTGGGGCTTTTGGGAAATATCGCCTGTGCCACCGTCTGGGCTTTTGGGAAATATCGCCTGTGCCACCGTCTGGGCTTTTGGGAAATATCGCCTGTGCCTCCATTGGGGCTTTTGGGAAATATCGCCTGTGCCTCCATTGGGGCTTTTGGGAAATATCGCCTGTGCCTCTGTTGGGGCTTTTGGGAAATATCGCCTGTGCCACCGTCTGGGCTTTTGGGAAATATCGCCTGTGCCTCCATTGGGGCTTTTGGGAAATATCGCCTGTGCCTCCATTGGGGCTTTTGGGAAATATCGCCTGTGCCTCTGTTGGGGCTTTTGGGAAATATCGCCTGTGCCACCGTCTGGGCTTTTGGGAAATATCGCCTGTGCCTCCATTGGGGCTTTTGGGAAATATCGCCTGTGCCACTGTCTGGGCTTTTGGGAAATATCGCCTGTGCCTCTGTTGGGGCTTTTGGGAAATATCGCCTGTGCCACATCATCTGGGCTTTTGGGAAATATCGCCTGTGCCACTGTCTGGGCTTTTGGGAAATATCGCCTGTGCCTCTGTTGGGGCTTTTGGGAAATATCGCCTGTGCCACATCATCTGGGCTTTTGGGAAGTATCGCCTGTGCCACCATCTGGGCTCTTGGGAAATATCGCCTATGCCTCCGTTGGGGCTTTTGGGAAATATCGCCTGTGCCACATCATCTGGGCTTTTGGGAAGTATCGCCTGTGCCACCATCTGGGCTCTTGGGAAATATCGCCTGTGCCACACTGTCTGGCTTTTTGGGAAATATCGCCTGTGCCACCATCTGGGCTCTTGGGAAATATCGCCTATGCCTCCGTTGGGGCTTTTGGGAAATATCACCTGTGCCTCCATTGGGGCTTTTGGGAAATATCGCCTGTGCCACCGTCTGGGCTTTTGGGAAATATCGCCTGTGCCTCCATTGGGGCTTTTGGGAAATATCGCCTGTGCCACTGTCTGGGCTTTTGGGAAATATCGCCTGTGCCACCGTCTGGGCTCTTGGGAAATATCGCCTATGCCTCCGTTGGGGCTTTTGGGAAGTATCGCCTGTGCCACCGTCTGGGCTCTTGGGAAATATCGCCTATGCCTCCGTTGGGGCTTTTGGGAAACCCGTTGGGGCTTTTGGGAAGTATCGCCTGTGCCACCGTCTGGGCTCTTGGGAAATATCGCCTATGCCTCCGTTGGGGCTTTTGGGAAGTATCGCCTGTGCCACATCATCTGGGCTCTTGGGAAGTATCGCCTGTGCCACAATGTCTGGGCTCTTGGGAAGTATCACCTGTGCCACGCCGTCTGGGTTTTTGGGAAATATCACCTGTGCCACACTGTCTGGCTCTTGGGAGATACCACCTGTGCCTTTCCTTTGGTGAAGGAGATACAGCCTTTGCCTCCAGTCTTGTTTACAGCTTCTGTCCTCTCTTTTTTGTTGTTTTTTAGGGGGGAGGGGGGTGATTTCTGGCTTATAAGTGCTATCTTTTGTGTCTTTTTGTGGCCCCTATCTCCTGTCTTACTGTTTGTGTTTTTTTTCTTTTTGCAGCTTCTGCCTCCATCTCTTGAAGACAGTCTCCCTCAAGTCTTCTGGCCTCCTGGCTAAACATTCCCAGCTCCTTCATTTGCTTGTCGTCAAGATGATTTCAAGTTTTACCTCCATCCTGAAGGACTAGCTTGGCATCATTTCCAAAATGCAGTGCTGAATGAGAACTGAACCACCATATCCCAGATGGGACTTGATGAAAGTCTGATTATCTTATCTTTTATCAGAAAACATAGATCTGGAAGGAACCCTGTAGGGCATCTAGTCTCCCCTACCCCCATTATACGGGTAAGAAAAGATTTGCTCAGTCACACCAGTAGTAAGGAGCAGAGCTGAGATTCAAATACAGATCTTTTGACTCCAGTGTGTCCCTTATTTTATGATATAGAAGTAACCATGTAAACAAAGCAAAATTATCAATAAAGGCTTGCTTTCCCCATGGCCTAAATCTGGGAGGTCACAGTTTCTGTCACTCTAATTCACAGGTACCACCTGGGGCTTCCTTTCATTTAAAACCTACTGAAAGGGACCCTAAGAGATCCACTAAATCGGATACTAAGAATGAGGGCTATCTAAATCGGAACTACATGTGGTTTCTCTTGTTGAAGTGCAGACATGGACCAGAGTCCCCCCTAGGTAAGAAGGTGTGGGAAGTTGAAATGTGTCCTTTTGGAGGGGGTATTCCATCATGAGCTCTGGAGGCCACTGAAGGCTTTATTTTTGTTTATCTTTTAGTTTGTATGGTTGAGATTAAGTTCACTTCTTTATTTGGACTTTAGCAGCCCCAGGAATTACGGACAGAATTATTGGCTTTGATCTCTGTTTCTTCATTTGTAAAATGTGGGAATTGGTTGACTAGGTAATCTGGAATGTTTCTTGTAGCTCTAAATCCTTAACTGTTGTAATCGGATCAAAATCCATGAATGTTAAACTAAACTTTTTGCCACCCCAACATTATAAAGAGAACGTGTCAATTTAAATCTAATCTGTTTTCAGTACCTGGGATCAAACACTCATTTTTTCTTTTCCTTTCTTTTTAGAAACAAAAAAAAAAGAGATGTGGGTACAGTCTGTAAAGCCTGCGGAGCACGATGGCCCTCATGGATTGTTAAAGGACTCAGAAGATGGCTTCCAATAGAACTTGCATAGAAAAGTGCTCCAGCCCCCAGGACAGGACAAGAAGGCCTGGCTGGCTTGCCATCTTGTACAGCTGTTGGAGGACACCATTGCCCTAATAACTTCCAGCCACGTCCATCAAGTTCTGCTTTTCTAAAATTCAGCCTTTCTCTTAAGATTCCACAAATGTGTCATTCTTTCTGGCAGTATAAGGAGTCTGTCACAGCGATGTTCCATAGTTATCTCCTTGTAGAATGGAAGCTCTTGGAGAAGTCAGCCTTCCAATTTTGGCTTTGTAGCTCCAGAAGCTAGCACTGAGTATGTGTCTATGAGATGCATGTTGAACTGAATGCACTTGCACTGTTCAACTCATTGTTTCTGTTAAGACGATGAAGTAGTATAGCAATAAACTTCATGATGCCAACAGAAAGCTTTTGTCGTGATTTTTCACGATCTCACCAGTGCAAGGGTACAAGCAGGTCACCAAGCTGGCCTACATAAATAAACACTTGCCTACCAAAAGACTGGGTCAGTTCACATTGTCACTAGCAGCACCTGAATGGCTCAGGTCTGGCCTCCAACCCAGTGTTCAGTGCTATCACATTATGTTTGCCAATTAGAAGGGTATCATAGGTTCCCTCACCACGGGTTGGAAAGGTAACAAATAAAAAGGTGGTCTAGGAGCCAGGAAGACCTGGGTTCAAGTCTCACCTCTGATACATACCTACTGTGTGATCCTGAGCAAGTGACTGAGCAAGACCCTCTCTATACTCTAGGCAGCTCCCTGAATCTGTAAGTTGCAGAGAAGATACCAACTTCTTGGCAGAGGGACTTTCCTAATCTTTATCACATACATACATACATACCTGCACGCATGCGCGCGCACAGACACACCCATCTTACTGTGTGCCTACCTGAGGGTTACAGGCCTGGGCTCAGCTTGCATGGGCGCACCACACACACACACAGGTCTCTATCCAGTATTGCTTTGTATCCTATATGTGTTGGAGAGAGCTGTCACAAATGCTTCTGGCCCAGCCCTAGACCAAGAGAAATCTCCTCAGAGCTGTCTCTGCAACCTAGAAAGCTCTAAATTCTAAGCTACTTACTACCTAGACCAGAGGTATCCCAGGGTGCCAAGAGAAAATGGGAACACCAGCATGGGATTTACACTTAATTACCACATACACACACACACACACACACACACACACACACACACACACACACACACACACGTACTCTCCCACACTAACTCACTCACACACACACACACTCTCTCTCTCTCTCTCCTGGTAGCAGAACTGGCTAAGCATGAACTCAGGACTTGTCTTTAGTTTGCTATGCCTCAGCCTTAGGATGGGGCAATGCTGAGGACACACAGAGACTTAATGCTCGGCATTTCAATTTCTATTTATACTCCCAACCAAACTGATAGACTCTAATGAAGACCTCCAGGTTCCCTACCCTGGCTCATGCTGCCTCTTAAACTTGGAATGTTTTCTTCCTTCCCCATGTTTTCTTACGGCCTTCAAGGCAGCACCCACCACAATTCCTACCTTCCAGAAAACCAAGGTCCCACATACACAGTTCCCTGTAAGTAGTGAAATCAGGGCTCAAATGCCCTCCTTATTCCATGTAAATGTAGCACACTTTGCTGCAACATCTCACTGCCCCCTTAGCATCTCCCTCAGTGCCTACCAGAGTAAGCAAAGACAAGCTTACGGGGTACCTCTCTCATTGACTGAAACAAGCGTGTGTCCTCCCTGCTGTTAGCCATTGCTTTAGGCCATCTGCTGCAGGAAACCTTTGATCTTATTTTTTCTCTCCCCTCCCCTCATACCCATGAAAATGAATCGAGGTGTCATCCTCTTCACTTACGGTCAAAAGGTTCTGCTGACCTCTGTCCTGTCCAGCACAGACCCATTTCCATCTCTGGCTCTGGCTGAACTCCAGGTTTCAGCAGTTGTGAAGAGGAAGGTGGGATGAGGTGGGGGTGGGGTGTCATTCTCCAAATCAAAGGAACTGGAATCAACTCCGTTTAAAGCAGCAGCATCCAGTCTAGGGGCATATTGCTTTTTCCAGTGAAATGTGACATCAAGGCCAGGTCTCTGCTCCTCCAACACTCCCTTAAGGGGATTCAGAAATAAATGACTGGAAGGGTCTGTTTGAGAATCACATGTCACGCTGCCTGGTTAAAGGAGAAGACAGCAAAGTGAACCCACTGGCAAATAGCACATTGGACTCATTAAGAGCTTCAGAAAGACAGCAGAAAGCAAAAGTAAGCCTCTGCTGGCATTTGTATCAAGCCAGGAAGCAACAGCAAGAAAGATACCCCTCAAAGTCATGGGGAGCCCAAGGCCCACCCTAGTCCTGACATCCAAAGTAACTAAAACCTGCAGGAGAGCTGCCCGCCCCCACCCCAGGTCTGGGCCTAACCCCCGAGCTCCGCCCTATAACACCCCCCCCCCAGGCCCTGGTCTAAACCCGCGGGAGAACCATGGGACCAGGGGAGGATGCTCGGGCACCTCCCCCCCGCCCCGGGCCTAACACTACGAGCCCCGCCCCCCCGGGTCTAAACTTCCCCAGCTCCGGTCCCCCCCCGCCCCCACCCCGTCCCCTCCAGGCCCCGGTGTACCCTCCCCCCCAGCTCCGGCACCCCACCTCACCCCTCCCCACGTGACCCGCCTGGGCCTAACACTACGAGCCCCGCCCCACCCAGGCCCGGGCCTAAACTCCCCCAGCTCCGGCCCCCCCGCCCGGTGGCCCGCCCCAGGCCTCACCCTTCCAGGCCCGGGCGGAGCGGGAGAGCCACGGGACCAGGGGAGGCTGCAGACCCGCTCGGCGCTCCCCCGCCCCCAGGAGCCTCCGCATGCGTGGAGTGGGGCGGGAGCTAAGTTTCATACCACCCCCCACCCCCCGCTTTCCCCTGTCGCACCTTGCCTCCTGCCGCCCCACCTCGTCTTACCTGGGCCCAGCCCCCGCTGGCGGAGAAGCGGGGGGGGTCCCTCGAGCCCCCGACGCGGCCCGCTGGCTGCCTCCGCCCCTCCCCGCCCAGCCCAGGCCCGCCCCCAGCCCCGCCTTTTCTGCCGGGCGGGGGAGGGTGCCTGCGCCTGCGCGGCCTGCGCCTTCCAGCAGAACAAAGTGGGGGGCGGGTCGAGACGGTTTCCGAATCTGATTTTTTTTGGCCGATAGTGTCACCTAGTGGTCGGATGGCTAACTGCCTCTCAAAAATGATTCTGTAACCAACCCCGGTCCAGGCTCCCCCAGTCTTAAAGCCACAAGCGTTCTCCGAGGTCGTCCAGCCCGACCCAACCACGGGCCCAGTTCTGCCCCCGCCCGGCTTCACTCCCCTCCACACAGCGGCCCGGCCTCCTGCCTTTCTTCGCATCCCCCCATACCACGTCCCTGTGCTTGGCATGCTGTATCCTCATCCTCCCTCCGGGGTCCCTTCCAGCCCCGGCTCCAATAACACTTTCGGCTGGAGGCCTTTGATTTTGATTTGATGTCACAGTCATTTCCAGATACACCCGAGTCCCTGGCCCCGCTCTGCATAAGCTTTGCCTTTTGACAAAGAAGCAGACTTAGGCAAAATCAGCATCCCGAACTCCGTAGCTCTCATCCACCAAGACTCTCCTGCTGTTCTCCTGGACAAGATGAAGCAATGTGGGGACTAGAGCGCGGAAGCAATTCAACGGCCAAACACAGAGGAGTACTCATTAAGGTTTCATGTCAGTTTGGAAGGATCTGGGCTTGGTCCTATGCTGTTCAACATCTTTTTCTTTCTTTCTTTCTTTCTTTCTTTCTTTCTTTCTTTCTTTCTTTCTTTCTTTCTTTCTTTCTTTCTTTCTTTCTTTCTTTCTCTCTTTCTTTCTTTTTTAAAGGCAATTGGGGTTAAGTGACTTGCCCAGGGTCACACAGCTAGTAAGTGTCAAGTGTTTGGTCTGAGGCCGAATTTGAACTCAGGTCCTCCTGACTTCAGGGCCGGTGCTCTATCCACCGCGCCATCTAGCTGCCCCTCAACATCTTTTAAAACATAAATGTGTATTGACATCATTTGCCCTTCCATTGCCTGAATTTCCCCTGTATCCTGCCCCCTCCCAAGAGAGCCATTCCCTTATAATAAAGAACTTTTGTAAAGAAAAATAACGAAGAGGAAAAGGGGAAAAAAAAACCCATTCAGCAAAACCAATCACTACAGGAAGAGAGCTCTGTCGTTGTCCGCAGTCTTCCTCACCCGTGGGCCCCACCTTAGCCAAGAAGTGGGGCGAGGGAGCTTCTCCCAGCCTTTCTTTGCAAATTCACAGCGATTCACTCATTTGCGATTGATTGGGGTTGGGTGGCGGAGCCGCGGTTCCTTTTATTTACATTGTCGGAGTCCGGGAGCCTAGTCTTTCTCTGGCCCTGCTTCCCTCTGCATCAATTCAGGTAAGTGTGGCCATATGTTTAATTTTCTCAGTGCTGTGAATAAAGCTTCAGCTCAGAGAGAGAGCTGCCATGGAGGATTGGGACAGGTTCGGGAGCTCAAAGTTGTGAGTGGGCAAGAACCCTGGACCGGATATAAAGAAATGAAATTGTACAGGCTAAAGGTTAGCTTAGGGTCAAAATCAGCCTCACAAACCCAAGGAGAGTGTAACTCAATCTATCCCATCTGACAGAACCGAGATTGCAGAAAAGCTCCGGAGCGGTTTTAAAAACTGCCACTAGGTGTCAGTGTTGCCTCAAAAATGCCAAGTCAGGCAGGCTCAAAACGTGCCCTGCTTTCTGACACTTCTGCAGAGTTCTCTCAGTGTTAATGGTCACCTAGAGGCAGCTGGGCCTTCCCTGGAGCTTTGGGCCCAAATGACCAAGAGCCTCCCATCGAGACCCAAACTGCAGGAGCCTGAATGGGTCCAAAGTGGAGGCAGTGCTCCCAGCACCAAAAATGCTCCAGAGAGGGTGGTCACAAGGCACTTTCCAAACTGGAAAAAGGAAGGAGGAAAAGACAGGATTGGTTTGGGAGGTGTGCTCTCACTCTGGAGCCTACCATTGACTTCAACCCCTTTGTTTCACAGATGAGGAAACTGAGGTTCAGAGAGCAAAGTGACTGGGCCAAGGTCCCACAGGCAGAGCAGAGGCATAGGTCCCAGTTCAGCCTTCTTTCCACTATCCAGCTTCATTTGTTTGAATTCCACTTGGTCACAAGGTCTCAAAATTGGGACAAGCAATTTTCCCCTTAGAGTGGCTTCGTTTAATCAGATTGTTTTACCCTTGACAAGTTGCTGAGAAGGGCTCCACTGAGCTAAGGAAAGTGACTACATCTGGAGTTGGTATGGAAAGAAGCATCCCAGTTCTGGGGTGGGGAGGAAAAACTCAGGGTCTAGTCTGCCTGGCTTCCCCAAGTAAGCTTCTGGGACTTTGCATAGGAAAGAATAATAGAAATTGGCTAGTGAATGTCCATTTTACAGAATGGAAGGGTGAGGCCTAGAGAAGGGAAGGCCAAGGTTGCACTGGGGGTCAATAGAAGAGGGGAGGTCTTTGGGCCCCAAATCCAATGGCGAATCCCCTGGCACAATGTCCACTTCAAGTCACAAGGAGGTCAAGAGAACCAGGGGGGCTCCACACGAGGGTCCATACTTTCTGGCTGTGGGATTTTGAGTTGGTGCCTTCCCCTAGAACTTGCTTGTTTACCTGTCCATTCGCCCTGCACATCAGCTTCAGGAAAAAGTGACTCTTCTCTTGAAGCAATCAGGGCAGTGACCAGATAAGATTTGAGCTGGAGAACCTCCACTGATCTGCCTAAAGGGAGGCCTAAGGGTGGCACCCCCTCTCTTCTGAAGGGCTTAGGGGAGGGCACCCAGGGAGGAGGATGCCCAGGGAGCAGGGCACCCAGGGAGGAGGGCACCCAGGGAGCAGGGCTTTGGATTCTCAAAGTGACCAGCTGCCTTTTTGGTCCTGGAAGGGGGTCTTTTAAGAAGGGTTCAAGCTTTAGGGAGGATAATTTTCCAGTGCCTCTTGTTCTGTTAGTTTGAGTTGGGAGAAGTGAATTTTTTAAAATTAATTTATTTTTAGTTTTCAACATTCACTTCCATAAACTTTTGAGTTTTAAATTTTCTCCCCCTCCCTTCCTCCCCACCTCCCTCCCCAAAACAGCATGTAATTTGATATAGGCTCTACATATACATTCCTATTAAACATATTTTCACATTAGTCATGTTGTAAAGAAGAATGAGAACCAATAGGAGGAACCACAAGAAAGAAGAAACAAAATAGAAGTGAAAAAAAAAAAGCAAATAGTCTGCTTCGATCTGCATTCAGACTCCATAGTTCTTTCTCTGGATGTGGACAGCATTTTCCATCATGAGACTTTTGGAGATGTCTTAGATCCTTGCGTTGCCGAGAAGGGTTAAGTCTATCAACGTTACTCATCGCACAACATGGCTGTTACCGTGTACAACGTTCTTCTGTTTCTGCTCACTTACCTTGTCCTTGTGAAATTTGCCTTGTTCCAGATTCCTAATGCTACTTCAAAATGTCTCATAGGATAGAATTTCAATTGAAATGAAAGAAAGATTAATTTTTCACAATTTCGGGTAGGCTTGTGCACGAGCTGCAGAATTTACTGCCAATCAACTTTTCCTTGAGACAGGCCAGGCTGCTGTGGGTCAAGTGTTTTGTCTCCTTTTGAGGCCTAAAGCAAAAGGAGCTGCTGGGATTCTCCTGGGCCACGCCCCACTCCCCACCCCGAGGGCGGCCGAGTGGAGAGAAGGCTCGAGAGCAATAAGGGGGGGCTGCCTACTGGCCCTAGGAGGCTTTTTCTAGGTCCCTGAAGAGTAGAGGAAGAATCCTCAGCTTTCTGGGGTCGATGGCACTCAGCTGAGCAGGATTCCCCATCACACCGTCCCGGAGGGCAGTCAGCCTCTGCTTAAAGCTCTCCAGTGCCATGGGATGGGGGGCAAGTCTTTCTTGACCTCAACTCTCTACACAGGCTTCCTTGCTCCCTTCCCCTGTTGCTCCTAATTCTGGCCTCTTGGGTCAAACGGGACAAGATCAATCTAGAGTGGAGCTTTCTCGGTGTTGTCCCCCACCTATCAAAGTGCCTACTATGTGCCAGGCGTTGCGCTAAGTGTTGAGAATACAAAGAAATGACTAAGAGGGAGAAGTCAGAGAAATCTGGTAAGGAACCAACGAAAAAGCCAGAACGGGAGCGCACGCGCGCCCCCCCACCCCCCACAAGGAACGCGCCTGCTAAAGAAAAGGCAAGCCGGGGAAAGCTGGCGAGGAGCCGACCAGGCAGTGCCAACGGCTGCCCCGCACCCTCTCCCGAGCTGAGGAGGGCCAGAAGGGGCGCCCCCGAGTTCTGCGCTTTCAGCCACAGCAGCGCAACCCCGCCAGTCCCAGCAGCTGGGCCCTCGCCCACGCTGGGCCGCGGAGCCGAGCAGGCCAGCCTCTAGCGGCGCCGCCGGAAAGGGGCGTTCCCTGGGCGGTTTTACCGCGCGCCGTTGGCCAGGAGCCACTCGCCGTGCTCCTCTGAGCCAATAGGAGGCCACCGTCGGCAGAAGGGGCGGACCCAGACTGTTTGTTCCCAGACGGCGGAGGCAGGGCCGGATCAAAGGAAGGGGCGACTTCAAGGGCGGCCAATGAGCGCTCGAGGACCGTCGCAGCAGCCATTGGGAGAGCGCAGGTTCCCGCCTCAGCCAATCAGTGCTCGGCGGCGGCCCCTCCGACTTTCGGCGCTCTGACAGTGGCCCTTTCGAAGTGATGGCGGCTCAGGGTGGTACCGAAGGGGTAGCGGCTGCGGCAGTAGCCGCGGGCGAGTAAGCAGACTGGGGGTGCTTGGGGCCGGGGTGGAGGTGACGGGGGAGGGGGGGAGATAACCAAGGGCCGGGGATCGAAGTGGGGGGGGGAACGACGACTAAGGGCCGGGGTGGAGGTGGCGGGGGGGGGGGGCGGGGATAACCAAGGGCCGGGGATCGAAGGGGGGGGGGTGGGAACGACGACTAAGGGCCGGGAATGGAAGTGTGCCTCTGCACTGGGGCTCATTTCCTCTTCCAGCCTAGCCCTGCTTCCCTCCAAGTTCTTTTCTGCTCTCCCCTCTCCACCCCCCCCCACCCCCCTCAGGGCTCTGGCTTCAGCCTCAGCTGCCTTAGCAGCCCCCAGCGTTCAGGAGGATGTTTCACCTGCTCTACTGGCAGAGTTCTTGAAGGTGAGCGCTCCGAGATCCTCCCCCATCCTCCCATACCTAGAGAGTGCTTTGGAACGTGCAGCTAAAGAGTTGCCCCTTCTCCCCCATGACGGTGAAGCCCATTGACATCCAGAGCTCAAAGAGAAATGTTCCCCACCCTTTGAGACCCTGACTTTAGGGGCAGCCCTCCTCTACTCATGTGTAGCTTCTATCAGAGGTGAGGGTGCTTTGAAATGCGTTCCTGAACCCTCCCCTCTAGGACTCGAGGAAGAAGGAGAAGTTGCTGTGGGGCCAGCTGCAGGTGGTAGATGCCCTTCAGGGATTCCTGGAGCACATGGACATGACTGTGAACACTGAAGAAGAAATTCGTGAGAGCTCTAGAACCCCTTGTAGGGGTGGGTGCTGCCTGGAGGGAGGAGCAGGGTGAGGCTGGCAGCAGGGAGAACTGAACTCCATTTCCCTCTTCCCTGGTCCAGGGGCAGAAGCCAGTGCAGTCCAAAAGCTCTGGAAGGATCTGAAGGCTGAGCACCAGAAACAGGTGGAAGCCATTGAGGCTGCCTTGCCGCAGGCCCTAGAGCAACTGGAGGCCAGCCAGAGGAAGCAGGCTTTATTGGGGAGTGCTCTGAGACAGGCCCAGGCCAAAAGGCAGGCTTTAGAGGAGCGGAAGAACATGGCCCAGGCCCGGCAGAAGCGAGAGCAGGTGAGGGCAGCGGAGGAAGGGAGAAAGCCAGGGCAACAACAGCATGGCAGCAGTCTCACTTCTGTCCTCATAGGAAAAGCGAAGGCAGCGGTTAGTGGCCGGAGCCCAAGGCCAGAGTGAGCGCCTGGAGAACGCCAAGAAAAACAGGGAGCGGGCACTGACGCTCCAGTATGAAGAAGAAGAGAATGCCCACAGGTAGGGATCTGCCTCTTGGGGCCCAAAGGGAGAGGTGGGAAAGAGGAAAGTGACCGGGGGCCAGAGGAAGGCAGGGCGCTGAGTATCGGCCTCTATTCCCACAGGCTTGGCGCCTTCCTAGGACTTCTGGAGATGCTGCATGGTGCTGGGGGGATGGAGGAAATGGAAACCTCTCTGGAACACCTGCAGCAAGCTCTCTGCAGTAACACCTCCCCACCCCCACAAAGGCATGCCCAATAAAGGTCTCAGCTCTGTTTTTTTCTTTCCCAAGATTAATGAGGGGGTGGGGACTGCCCTCTGCAGAGACCGACCCCCCCCCCCCCATGCTCTCTGCTCAGACCACCAGGAAGATTGGGACCTGACTCCATTAGACCACTCAGAACAAAGAATTCTGCCAGTAATCACCAAGAGATCTCAGTCCTCCCCGAAGGCCCCCTGGCTTCAAGCCTTCCCATCCCATGTGAACTTCCCCTTTTTCCTGTCCTCCCCCAGCTCACACCCAGTAGCTACACTCAGAAGAACAGCCCAATGTCAAGCCTGTTGTTGCCTTGAAGACAACATTGTTCAAAGCACTCCCCACCTACTGGGAGCCAGCCTTCTTCCTCCAGCTACTTGGTAGCACTGCCCTCCTCACTGGGGGCCGCCAGGGTGGAGGTTGCCTTGAAGCTTCGTTTGCGCTTTTGAACATTTTGCTCAGGATGGAAGATGATGGTGTACACCTTGGGCACATAGAGCATCCCCAGGGACACCGAGGCACTGAGACTCATGGACACAGTCAGTGTTGTAGTCTGGATATATATCTGATCCAAAGGAAAAGGGTGTTGGCCTGGTCCAGACCTCTTCCCAATGCTGTCCCTGGCATTGGGCCCCCCCCCCATGGGCAAAGCACAAGAGATGCCTCTCCTGGGGAGGGCTTGGCCAAAAGGATAGATGGCATTTTGGGGGTTGGAAAGGATGGCCAGGTTAAAGGCCCGCAGGCAAGAAAAGGTCGATTATGGCAGGGTGGAGGAGAAGGAAAAGGATGAATGAATAAAACCCCCAAGTGAACACATGATAAAATGAATGGTAACATGTATGAACAGGTTAACGATGACATGAACTTAATTGGTGAACATTCAAATGCAGAAGTGACTGAATTCTAGATTCTTCACTAGGCTGCCAAGTAGGCAGGAGGTGGGGCCTTACCTTCTCGGCAGACTGGGCCGTGCCAAAGAAGATGGGGACAAAGGCGAGCCACACGATACAGGTTGTGTACATGGTGAAGCCAATGGGCTTTGCCTCATTGAATGTCTCCGGAACCCCACGAGCTTTGATGGCGTAGACAGTGCAGGTCACCATGAGCACCAGGCTGTAGCCAAGGCAGCCAATCAGGGAGAGATCTGACATGTCACACTTGAGGACACCCCGGGCTTGTTCCGGGTCTGGCGTCCGCTGTTCTTCATAGTCAATGACACTGTGTGGTGGCTGGAAACCCAACCAGGCTACTACACCTATGACCTAAAAAGACATGAAAAATCAGCTTTACAGGAAAGCCAGTTTAGAGAATCTGTCACATTTTCCACTTTAAAAAGAACACAAGGCTGGTGACCTACTTTACAGGAAGAGATTCTTGACTTTCTAGTGCCTTAATCGTTTTTTAAAGGAGACCCTTCTTGGGAACAGAATTTACCAGAATGGGGTCTTTGTCTTGCCGAAACAGCCCCCCCCCCATTCCTATGGACTCCGGCCTTGCCACAATAGTGCAGGGACTTGCTTGAGAGGGTGTCGAAAACAAACCTGCACAGAAGTCAGGCTGAAGGTGATGAGGAGCTGTGAGGTGGGGCTGATGAAGGGGGGGGGGGTGACAGACCTCTTGCCACGCTCAAAGATGCGGTAGATGCGATTGGTCTTGGTGAGCAGGGCAGAGTAGCTCAAGGCAGTGCCTAGCCCGAGAAGGAGGCGGCGGGCAGCGCAGATGGTAGGGCCTGGCTCAGCCACCATGAGGAAGGTGATGGCATAGATAAGGAAGATGCCCGTGAGGAGGATGTAGCTGAGCTCGCGGCCTGAGGCCCGGACAATGGGGGTATTGTGGTGCCTTATGAAGGTGACCAGCACGGAGGCAGTAGCTACAATGCCTGCCACAGCCAGCAGGAGGGGCAAGATAGCCCAGGGAGAGGCCCAGTCAAGGCGGATGACGGGCGTGGGCCGGCAGCCAGTGTGATTCAGCGTGGGCCTGGCTCCTAGTGGGCAGGCCTCGCAGGTAAACTCGTCCACCTGATAGCGGTAGCCATCACAAGGTTCACAGTGCCAACAGCAGGGGACGCCTTTCACCATCTTCTTTCGCTCCCCAGGCCCACATGGGAGACTGCACAGGGAAGTTGGTGGCAGCAAGGGGCTGCCTAACCACTCCAATTCTTCTACCTGAGGGCAGAGGCTACAGGGAATCATCTCAAACACACCCTCTTCACCTTTGGGGGGGCCTCATGGACCCCCTCCTAGGATCATCTTTTTAAATAATTAAAGGAAATGCTAAATTAGAGTTAGAGATGAGTGAAAATCAAGATGGCACGTTTTTCCCATCCAAGTGCTTGGACCCCGCTGAAGTCTATTCATGGAGCCCAGCTTGATCTCAAGTCTCGAGTTGCATTGCTGCATCTTCTCAGTCCCCTTCCTTCTTGACCCTCACTGGCTTTCCCTTCCCACTCCCCACCCCCACCCCGCTCCTGCTGGTCATCCACAAGGAAGAAGTCACCATGGGTTCTGATAGTAAGGAAAGTCCCGAAGGTCCACAAAGGTGCCAAACCTGCCGTGGCAGGGGTGTCCCCCACGGCTGCCTCGGAATCTGACCACGAGTACTCTGAAGTCCTGTGCCCTGCCCGCCCTTGCCTGCTCTCTCAGCTACAAGCCCCACTCACTCACATTGAGCTTCAAGGACTCAGTCCACTGGCCCACAGCACGGTAGCCTCCACTACCATTTGTCACTTGGTACTGGAAGATGTCATAGCGCCCAGGAGCATCGCCATTCTCATTGAACATCACAGGGGTCCCAGCACTGCCTGGAGTTGGAGGAGCTCCCCTGAAACCACATCTGCCTGCCCTGTCTTCCTACTGCCCCTGTCTGAGCCTGCCCAAATCATGAGTCCAAAGAGAGACTCCATCTCTGACGCCCGTCTAGACTAGGAAAACAGTTCAAGGCCTACGTGGGTGGGTCATCACAGGGTTCTTAGAAGAATCAAATGAGCTAACACATGGAAAGGCCTCTGCAGATCTTTTTTACAAGCTCTTTATAAACACAATTAGAGACAACTAAGTGGTCCACTGGATAGAGTCCTGGACCTGGAATAAGAAAGATCCAAATTGGAATCTGACTTCAGACACTTAACAAGCTGTGTGACCCTGGCCAAGTCATTTCACCTCTGCCTCAGTTTCCTCAGCTGTCAAATGGAGATCAGAATGCTGGGAGGCTCCATTGAGATTATATTTGCATAGCGTTTTGCAAACTGTAAAGAGCCATATAAATGTATCCCTGTTAAGTCCTGCCTTTTTGATGGGGAGTTTTCTGTGTGTACATTATTTAAACAAAGTAAATCATTGGAAAAGCCATGCATCACAGGCCTACCTGATGCCAGCATTCCCCTTACTCTCGCACAGACTCAGTTGAATAGAGCAGAAACTTCTTAAAAGTCAGTTCGGCCAACATAGAGGCTTACTGTGCTAAGGCTTCCTGAGGGGAAGGCCCAGCTCTGCTAGAAGGACCCCTGAGAGTGTGAAGTCTCTAATGTCAGACCTTCAAGAGCACATTTTATTAAAGAGGAAACTGAGGCCGAGAACAGAAAAGGCCTTGCTCTAGTTCCCAAACCGATGACTTTCCGAGCCAGGACTTGGACCCAAGTCTCCTAATGACTGGCTCCATGCTCCTTTCCCAGAAGGTGCCAGGTTTGTGAGGCTTCTAATAATAGCAAATGGTCGGCCATTCTTGGTGACCTGGGCCAGTCTGCACCCCCTGGGGCTCTGGCCCCAGCTTACCATTGAAGTGCACTGCTCGGATGTAGCGCAGGAGCACACGGCCGTCGGTGGGGCTCATGGCGGGACAAAGGCCAGCGTGGCCAGGACACAGAGCCTGGTGCATGCTGTGGAGGGCGTGGGCGATGGCGTAGACGGCGTCAATCACGAACTGCACCTTGCCCTCCTGCTTGTAGGCTGAGTCTCGGCCGATTCTCTCTTCGCCTGTGCCCAGGGGAGGCAAGGCTTTGTGGCCAGTCTCCCTGGCCCAGCCCCGCGCCTCTGTGCCCGCCCCTCTCTTCCCCGCCCCCTGACCTGTGCACTTCCGGGCGGCAGCATCGTCAGGTTGGGCTCCAAAGCTCGCTGGCAGCCTGCAGTTAAAATTGTCCTCCCAGAACTCGGCAAACCAGACGTTACGCCTGTTGTTCTCCAAGGAGCGGGTGGTGAAGTACCGGTCAAACCCTGGTTGGCAGAGGGAAAGATGGTGAAGGAGTGAAAGGAGTGAAGAGGGCATGCCCGGGGGGGGGGGAGAGGGGCGAGGGCCTTTGGGCACTGGCAGGCTTCGAGGTCAGGTTGAGTCACTGCCTTCCCCGATCTTAGCAGGGAGAGAGACATGGAAACAAACGAAGGGGATGTGAAACCTCATGGCTGGGGACACTCTCTGATGCAGACCGAGCTAGTACTGAGAATGGGTGAAGTGAGGGAAGGGGCCACGTCACGCTGTCCTTTATTTCCTTCACAGGCTCACTCGAGGGTTACCTTTACACGTCACCTTACACATTTCAAGGCTAATGACTGAAGAAGCTGCCAAATGAAGGCACCTTCTGATCCCTGGTAGCCGCCTTTACCATCCTCGCCTTCAAGGAGCCCTCTCGTTTTCCCCGTACCACCCCCGTGTTCACATCAAACACGCCCTCTTTTTCAGAATCCTCTTTTACATTTGAGTGTCCAAAGAAGCTACTCACCATCAATGGAAGCCCGCTTGGGAAGAATAGTGATGGCGCCCACTGCCACGTCCTCAACATTCAGAATGGGGGAGGTCTTAGCCCCCCAACTGTCTGAGCCAACCCACAGGAAGTGGCCTGTCAGGTTGGCCTGTTGGGCAGCTTCCAGGACCCGCCTAGGGAGATGGGGGCCAAAAGAACGATGAGGCTTGGGGAGGGGGGGGAAGGGGAGTCAGCTGGATCACCCTCCACCCTCCCGTACAAGTACTTCACCCCAAGCAGACAGAGCTGAATGGCAGCAACAGGGTAAATAATAACTCCTGTGTGTCTGTGGGTCCTTGAGTCCTTGTGGACCAGTGGTAAGAAAGAAAATGGTTTCTCAGGAGAAGCAGCCTTCGGTTCTCTTCAACAGACACTGTACTGCCTTTCTGGGTCTGGCCTCTCCATTATTCTTGAACCAAGGGTCCCTCCCTATTATAGCAGCCCCATCTCCTTACTTGATGTCATCCTCAATTGCAAAGATGATGATGCCCCGGGCATTAGGTGTCTCCATGAGCCTTTTGATGACCTTGTCAAATTCTCCAGGCTTTGGTTCCCGGGGGATTTTGATCGACTGAGCAATGCAGACGCCTCCTGGGGCCCACCCCAAACAAGAGATGTGGCCCATTTCCCTTCACAGCCCTCACCACCCCCTAGCCCATATGCTGCTTTCAGCTGTCTGAGCTCCTGCATCCATTAGTTTCCCAAGGAGAAGCAGACTGAGACCTTAGCTCAGTTGTAGCCT